TGGAGTGGAAGGGACAGGTGTGAGGAGAACGTGCGGTGGAAAGAGGTCCAGAGTGAGGTGGAAAAGCAGTGGAGGGCGGAGTATAGACTGGAGAGTGGAGTGGAGGTGCATTGCAGAGTGGAGTGGTGAGTGATGCGGAAAGTGACCAAGAGTGGAGTGGAAACTGGAGTGGTCTCTGGAGTGAGGGTGGAGTCCAGAATAAAGTCAGAGTTAGACTGGACAGTGGAGTGAAACGTGGAGCAAAGACTGGGGAATGCGGAAAGTGTGGAGGAGAAGGCTTGAAAGGAAAGTGGAGTGCAAAGCGAAGCGGACACCGGAGTCGAGTTGGCAAGGTTCTGCAATGGGTTTTCCACGCCCTTAATGAGGTTTGTGCTTTTTGCTGGCATGTACCTTCCCCCCGCCTCTTCTACCTTACTCCATGGTGCATAAAGCCTGGCTAGCTTTCGTTGGCCTCGCCTCGCCCCTCAAGTTCTGTGCTTGCAGGAACCTCTCAGCCGCTGCCGCTGCCGCCCCCATGACGGCTTGGGCCTGAGTGGAATTTGGAAAGAGCACTCCTTGTCCCTTGTCCCACTATCATCCCCAGCTCAAGCCAATTGTCTGGGAAGGGCTCGGGTGCTGAGGAGGACTCCAAAGACTTCACGGCCCGCAGCCCAAGAGGGCACACAAATGGAACAGAGAGCACAGAGAGAAGCTTTGCGGCCCTCGCCATGTAATCGCATTGAGGTACCCTTCTTCACAGAGGATTCGGTTGGAATGTTGGCGACTGCATGACAGCGTTCCGCACCTGCAGTGCTGCAGGACGGCAGACAGGTGCTGGCGGAAGTGGCTGGTGCCATGCCTCAAAACCTTATAAACGGTGGCTGCCATTATTTTCGGTTGCAGCTGAAGACAAGTGTAAAAGGAGCCCGCATACGACTCGGTAAGCGAAGCTGTTGTGGCTGCTTCGCTTCCAGGCGACTTGGCTTTGTCTGTGACCGATGCTGACCGTTTCGTGTCCAGCTCTGTGGTGAAAACGGCGATGAAAAAGGCAAAGCTAGCAGCCTTTGCTGTCCGTGTACTTCCGCTTTTGTTTTTCCATTAGGGCTTCTCTCCTTATAGTTTTTGACTGGTGCAGGCCGTGGCGGCACTGGCAATTGTCGACGCTTCCACGGTGAAGGTGGGCTTGCCAGGGGCAGTATTGAACAGCAAGCTGTACAAGCTCCGACTTGGCCTAGGTGGACCTGACGATCCCGAAGGCGATCCTTTTGGCAACCTGGCGGCGCAGAGCCAATGGAAATGTCGACGTGGCCTACCTCATTGAGGCCTTTCGCGCGTGCGCTGCGCTCCAGTGCAAATTGCTTTGCATGCTGCGTGGGGCAGGTAGTCCCTGGGTCCCCCTCGGCAGCAAGCCCTCATCTCGGTCACATCAAAGGGCAAAGGCGTAAAGAGGTGTCTTGCAGGGAGCTGTCTGCTTTTCTTGAGGCATCTCGGAGACCATCTCCAAGCAGGACATCAACACAGTGACCGGCCAGGTGGGCTTTGACATGCTTGATGCTTCTTGTGGCTCGCCCTCTCTTTCCAGATCCGTGGCCAGCTGGAGCTCCTGGGCTGGGAGCTTGGGCGTTTGAGGTGGAGCGAAAAGAGCTTCCCGAGCGGATCCGTTCCAGTTCCAGGAGCCAACTTCACGGTGCGCGCCACGAGCCTGAGCGTCACCATCTTGCGGCCGCCTTGGCGAAATCGCTTGGAGAGCTGCGAGTTCAGGGGTGGTGCTTGGTGCCCAGGCCCGTGAGTGACCTGGGCGGCATGGGCGGTGCAGGGCTCAGAATGAAGGGAGGAAGCCTGGCTGCCGAAGCATTGAAGACTTCAGGTGCGCAGGCCGCCATGGAGAAGGCCCAGCTCGCATTTCTGACTTGGCAGCGCTCGCGGTCCCGCACGAGACGAGGTGTCCACGGCAGCCGCGACGGCGGCTGATGTGCAGCGCCACAATTCCTCAGTGCAGGCCTTCCGCAACAAGGAGGTCACCCTTTAGGGGCGGGAAACTTTTTTTAATTTCAGGACGCGAAGGTGGAGTCCCCAGCCGATGGCAAGGTTCCTGCAGCACCAGGCCGCTCTGAAGTTTGCAGGGTACCGCAACACAATGCTTCTGAGCAAAGCCTTCAGCCTCAGATGCTCCCGTTGTCGTGGAGACAGCCCAGCAAGTGGCCCAAGCTGCAGCGTGCGGAGCCCAAAGCACTTTGCCATGCTCTCCATTTGCCTGAAAGCCTGTCTCAGGAGTATGGCTGCCGACGAGCAGGTGCGTTGTTGAGCGTGTGGAGGACGGTGGCGAGAAGCAAAGAGACAGAGCGTTAAACTGCCAGTCCAACGACGACGATGAGTCGGATTTGCCGAAGGGCCATGCAGCTCAGCATGGCTGCTGGCTTTGCGGTCTGCTCAGGCTAACCATCTGCACCGAGCGGGTTTCTGATCCTATCGTTCTCAGGGTATCTCCTCTTCGCCCTTTGGCTTGCGGGCCTGAGACGATAAGCCGGTAGCAGTCCGATGGACTTCCGTTTGTTGCCAAAGCTGCATCCCGGCTTTGGGCGAGGATTCCCACAGCGTATGGCATACTGGCCAAGAGCAAAGGGTAAGACAAAGTACTGCCGTCAGGCGGGTGCCGCGTATGGAGCACCGCTCCTGGGTCCACGTGCCCACTTCACGCTTCTTAGAGAAGACGCGACAGGCGCCTGCAGGATAAAAGAGGTTTTCGAGCCCAGAGCAAGCAAGGGTCTGTGCTGGAGCATGGCAAAGACGCTGTAAAGCAAGGCTCGTGTAGTGAGGTAAATTGAGGACAAAAAAAAGTTCTAAGGGTTCTTTTTTGGAAGAGCTTTCCATAGCTGAGCTATTTGCCATGGCCGCTGCAGTGCCTTCTTCCGCCTTGCCCGCCCAAGCCGCCCAAGCTGCCCAAGGCGGGCAGCTCGAAGCAGTGGCTCAGTGAAATGCCTGGACTTTGGGAGATTTCAAGTCTTGGGGACACCTCAGGGAGCACAGCACTCCGGCGTGCTCAACCAGTGCTCTTCAGGCGGGCTTGCGTTGCTGTAGACAGCTGGGCATTGGCGCTCCGGTGCAGGCGATGTTGGCGTGAAGCTGCTGAAGGCAGCTGGGCCGAGAGGTCTTTGGGCCAGAATCAGGAATTCATCTTCAGGTGCTCGCTCAACTTTTTCGCGCGAAGCAACCTGCTTTTCTAACAAACCAAGCCTTGCTCGAGGCCGTGCTTTGTTTCAGTGGCAAGGCTTCTTGTACATACGTGAGTCCTCACCCGGTCCCCCCTAAATCCTTAAGCTTAGATATCAATCCATGCCAGAAAATTCGTCTCAACAACTAGGAAATGATAATGAGAGGTCAGATACGAACTAACCTAAGGCCCCTCATAGAACAGGGGAAGTTGCTACACGGGCACCGGCGTGAATGATGTTTCCGGGGCTAGACCCCGCCAAAAAGGGGTTTTGGGGTGGGCCTGGTGGTCTGCAAAACTGGCGAATCAGGAGTGTCAGGGAAACGGGTGCCTTCTGATGCTGCTGATGCCCGGCTGGGGCTGGCCATGCAGCTTTTTTTGGGCGCGGCGGAGGCCGTGTTTGCTGAGGTTTGGCGTATTCTGGCAGAGTTCGGTATGTCCAACTGCAGCCGCACCGGTTCGGGTTAGCTTGCAGCGGGTTTGCATTCAGTTTTGCGGGTCTCCACGCTCATGCGCTCGACACCTTGTGGAAAATTACCTTCGCGTGCTTGCTGTACGCCTGCCCAGAGCCTGCTCCTGCTCCTGCCTCCCGCTTCGAAGCTTTAGTCCTCCCCTGTAGACGAAAGTTTGTTTCAAGAATGCTTTTTGATGTGTGCTTCGAATAGTCCATATCTGCATTGCGCCCAGTATCCACAGGGGTTCTGTTATTGACTTCATTGTTGTCGTTTTTTGTCCCTTCTTGCCGTATTCTTTCATGCCTTCTTTGTCTATCATCCATCTTCCACGCTACTCATCAGTACATAGATCATACATTTTTCATAGGACAGCTCTTCCCTCTTAGAGAAAGTGAAAGTAAGGACATATGATATCCAACCGATTAAGAAACAAGCAGATGTTGATGACGTAACAAGGGTCAACGCGGTTTAGCGTATTAGTTACTATGGTCCGTATTATTGGGACCCCAAAAGGGTACATACCCCTAATTACCATAAACCCTAAACCACCCTAGGCCTTAATTTATGGGACACCCCCAGCAGCTTAGGGGGATGAACCATTTAAAACGCCAAACAAAATCAGTATACTGATGGACAAGGATGGCAGTGCTTGTACTTAAAAAATATAGATGATCATATGCTGAAGAGTTCCGAGGTTTCCTGAGCGAGAAACCTTAAACTGCTGAATCAAAACACGGCACTGCCGAAAGGACATAGTTTGTGAAATGGTCAAACAACATGACACTGGAAGCAGAACATACATCAGCATGCATGCAAATATATTGTGCAAGGAATACCAAGCATTGTTTACACTACATCGTGAGTACTTGCCCAACAGCTATTTAGAGCAATGTCTGCCATGTCAGAGATCAGATCTGAAGAAGCCCGAAGCCAAGGCGTGAAGCTATATGAGCTACGGACTAAACTTAGGTTGGGGGGGACCTATACGGGACTCTAGGTTTTTTGGGGAGACCTGCTAAGAATATACTACAAATTTAGTCCATAGCTTTTTCTACAGAACTGCTTGAGGATTCCCGAGCAAAGTTGTTGAACAGGTGAGCAAGAGAGACGGCAAAATGGCACGGTCAAAGGCATAGCTGGATGCACGGAGTATGAAAGATGGAAAGGCCATCTGGACGACTATAAAGAGGACATGAATCTCATGCAGATGCCTCTAACCTACACTGCTAGAAACGCTGCGATATTGACACGGAGCAAGAATATTACGAACAAGACAAAGACCAAATCAGGGAACGCAAGCCGCATTTTCAATATGAACATAACGATGAAATACTCCGCGACGTCGTGAGGCAAACAAGAACGACCTGACTGTTCGTCTTCGCAAAAGGAAGAGACCAAATCAACTGAATGGTCAGCAAGAACATGTGGCAAAAATCTGTGTAGTAGGCATTCCCAACTGTGGCTTGGGGTTGCGGTTTTCTATTGGGCTTGGGTGCACACCCATTGGCACCCATCATTCCCCATTTAGTGGCTGTAGAAATTCGAAAAATGGTAAACTTCATGATTAAGAGGACTGCATTGGTTGGGGTTGTGGTAAAAGATTAGGGGTGAGATATGGGATGGGCACTTATTACCAGCTGGGAAATGCCAACGAGATATCTGTTTGAAAACTGCAGAGCCTCTATGCCGTGACTGCAACATGCAAGCAGGTCATGCAAGTGCCCAACATAGCACATATGACCAAAGCTGTGCTCGGTACTTTCCCTTCGTAACGCGCGTCTTTCAACGCAGCGTACGTGGTGAGCACAGCTTTGCACTTTCTGTCGACAACCCAGAAATTCGGTCTGCCCATGTGCGCTAGATTGTCTTCGATCTGCAGCTTGCTTCTAGCATGTTCCGACTCCCGCAGTCATTGCTCAGGTTCTGGAGCACGTCGCTCGCATGCACGGCCTGCTTTTCACAGGCTGTGGGCTCCAGGCCTCCATTTGGCTGTGCGCATCCGACGCAGGCGCGGCGCGCCCTACGCGGCCAAGGTGCCGCGCGGCGAGCCTCCAAGGGCGAGGCCGGCGAGGCCCCGCAGCCAACCAAAGAGCCTACAAAAGAGGCCAGCGAGGCACCCGGTTGCAGCTTGCGCAAAGAGCTGTCGATTCTTTCCTCGCAGGCCTTGTCACCGGAAGTCCAAGACACCTTGGCCAAGGTGGCCCGGTCGAAGGCCAACACGGCAAGGCCGAGTATTTAGTACAGGAAAGACTGGTCATGGCTAGTCTGCATGCGGGGCTTCTTTTGAGGACTCAGGCCCCCCCCTTTGACCCAGCCGCCTGCTCCTTGGAGAAGCTTCTGCAAGGCTTCACACAGTTTTCAATTTTCTTCTTGACCATACGAGGCGGAGCCCGGCGTCACGGCTCCTCTTGGCTTCTTCGACCCAGCAGGTGGCCGCAGGAGTTGTGGGGACTAGCGTGCAGCTGCAAGCGCTGCAGGCTTCTGCAACGGTGTCGACAAGGCCTGCTGCTACTCAAACGATTTGCTTCGAATATCCCACCCTGAAGTGTGGCTATCTAGGACTTGGCCGTTGCTCCCTGGATATAAAGGTTTAAGTTTAAGTGTTGTAGAACAACTAATGTTGCACCCTGTTTAATGATAGCCCCCCTAAACAATTACCATTCCTCTTTTAATACGGCGGCGGTCCCTAAATTTGCCGCGCAATTAAAAACATATGGGACCTGAGAATCTATCTAAGTAATCTAAGTAACCTTCATGGAAGGTTTTGAGCCTTGTTCGAATGCTGAGTGTTGAGCTTGTTAGGATCACTTCTCTAAGAGAAAAAGCTGACTCAGACAGAGCCTGCAAGCTGTTTCTGCTTAGCTTTTCTGAGGTAAAACTAAACTAACTTAGTCAATAACTTTTGTTTAATTTGGGGGCCACAGAGAATTCTATTATTCCGGACCCCTCAAACAATACCAGATCCTGAATAATTTCCCCGAACAATTTGTTATTGCGGCCCCCTATGCTAAAGAGGGTCCAACATCATTACTATTGTTACTACTATACAAGATTATGCATTTGGAGACCCAGCGTTCTGGTAGGCATTGACACGGCATCTGCCCGCCCATGGGCCCCATGGAGCTGACACGGGCTGACCCATGACTGCTCTCCATAGGCAACGAAGTTGCATTGCCTGAGAGGGTTACTTACTGGGGCTTGGTGGGGAATAAGAGAATACACTATATTGTAGGGGGATTATATGGGGATTCTGTTCCTTCATCATTTGTTCCCTTACTCCCTGCAAAGTCCAGTAAGTTTAGGGCTTGGGGTGGAGGAGTTTTCTGCTGTCAAGAGGGAGCGGCCTGGCCGTTATGTCTTGTCGCGATCCTGGGTTTAATCTTTCGACCTATGTCATGATGGGTACTTTCGGTCGTAAGCTGGTCTTTTTTTCATCTGACATGACCGGTGGATTGACCAGGGATTGCTTTGAAGTTCGTAGTTCGTGATAAGGCCATGAAGAACAAGCATGTCACCTTCATAGAAGCTCACACGACGGTCTTCTATAGCGCCATGACTGGGCATGGTGCTGAACCCTATGATGCTTGTGCACTGAACTGCTATGCTTTCTACAGAGGTCTACCACGTTGACACTCGCATGGCCTACTGCCAGGACCTGCACGTATAGGCTGTTCCCCTGGAGTACTTGTCCAGAGTTTGTTGCAGCAGAAGCACTGCCATGGTTTGGGATATGGGTCCGGCTATTGTAACAAACAAGCGGAAGAAGATGATTATGAATTGCATTGGGGAACTCCAATGTCCAGCTTCCTTTTTCAAGGCATTTCAGTTCCAAATCACGTTCACAGAGCCAGTTTCCTTGTGTGCTTCGCTTGCCCCGCCCCAGCACTCACATCGTGAATGCTGGCAACCACTTATATTCATGATCGTATGTGAGTACTTGGTACCCCACCTGTGTACCTCAACGCCTGCGCGGAACAGGCATGTGCCACCTCTTCCTCGCAGCGTGCGGCCTTGCGATTTTCAAGGGAGAAGGAGGGAGAAAGGGGAACACCTATGATCTCAAGCACGAGACACAGAGGTGTTCCCATACTCCTAGCCTCTAAAAGTCTAAACGCCATAGGAATGGTGAAGAGAAGATGTGGGGTCCTTACTGTACAGGTGGTCATGTGAGTGGTATGGCGGCATGGTACATAGCCCACGTTGACTCACAAGAACTATGGTGCCAAGTTTCCTTCCCTCTCCTTCAGAGAATTGGGTCACGGTGAACGAGCCATGGCCTGGAACCATCCCTGATGCAGGATGCGGTAGCCGTTTGTCGAGTGCACTTAGGATGCAACCTACACTCCCTGTGGATGCTTGAGTCCTCAGATCTTTGTTCCTGGAGGTGACTGGGTTTGTTCTTGGACCAAACTCTATCAAATCAGTTACAAGAAGCAACCGTACCACTATTTGTATATGATCTTTGTCATTGCCCTTATTATTCCTAGCAGTAGTTCCCGTACTAGTGCTGTCACTACTCGGGGTGTAGCGTATCTATGTTTGTACATGGGGATTATACAATCATCATTGCATCTGTGCCAGAACCACTTCTATGTGGCTTCTAGTCAGCCATGAAGGAGCGGAAAAGAACATAATGCATAATGGAAGCTACTATAGTAACTATATTATAGGATTGAGGATTTGGGGTTTAGGGAATGGAAGAGAAAGCAGAAACGTGGTTTGGGAACGAAGAAGATCATGGGAACTGCAATCAATGCAACCGCCATTCATATAGACGGCCACAAGAGGACTGGTGCCCACTCACTCTTTGAACTTGCGCCCATTTCCAAGAATGTCTGCATCACATATAGACCTGACAGAAGTTTTGACACGCTTCTACATCTTATATTGGAGTTCTCTTGCTCTGAATCTTGCGGAAGCTGTCTTTGCGCACTAGGCACCTGACGTTTGGCCCTTGGCCGAACGAAGGGCAGGATGCAATGTTGTTGTTAGTGTTGTCTTCCGAACTGCAGACTACGTTAATGAGCTTCTTCTTTTCGGCCCCCGGTAACTGGAACATTGCGGGCTACCGCTTTCGCTGATAGCGGAGAGAGGAGCATGAGGCAAGCATGCAGGATGCTGCGGAGAAGAAACACCCGAGTTGGCGGTCAGGATTATGTATCTCTGGGCCTTGAAGAACCGCTCTGCCAGGACCTTGGCGATCCTGATATAGATAGAGCCAAAATGTGGCGGCAGGAATTTCTACATGTCCTGTGGGTGATCCACTTCAGGAGGACCATGAGTGTTTTAGGGCGCAGGAACAGTGCAGCCTAAAATGCGCTACAATGTTTACGGTTGATAGGGCTTGGGGTGAAGTATTCTATGAGCAGGTTGAGGCACGTGCATGGCTCCAGGGTGCGTGTGAAGGAATCTCAGTCGCCGACCATAACCTGTTAGCTGGACCCCCGCGCTCGAAACCCCAAACACCATAACAGAAACCATAAGACTAGGCATCGTGGTCATAGTTTTGAGAGACAAAAGGTAGATCAAAGAAGTTGAAACTAAGCCCTGACAGAATCGAGAATGCAGCGCACATACCATTAATCTTGAGAATGGTCCTACTAAGCCTTGAGGACCGATCGCTAAAGTGCTCAGACTGAGATCGTTTGTCCTGGTCATCTGGGTGGGTGTATGGGCGACCTCAATCGCCCACGCTTGGCCCTATTGGGTTTTGTCATGAATGCAGGGCATTGAATTTGATGAATTATCAGTCGCGTCAGATAGCCGACTGTGGTTCAGTGGGAACGTGTAAGATTTGCGCTTCTTCCTATCACCCTGACACAAGCGAACCGTTCCCAATCCCACTTCAACAGTGGATCATCACACCAATCATCTTTAAGAGCAGCCTGTGCAGCATCACTACCAGAAGACCTATCCTGGCACCTCGCGTCATGTCCTGACTGCTCGCTCACCTTCCTTTGGATCCAGGAAGAGATGTTAGGAGAAGTCCTTCGATGCGAAGCCTTTCACGCGAGACGCCTTATGGAGCCTAGCAGAAGTGCCACAAACTTTCCTACAGTTCTAGCTGAACCTGAAATTTTCTACCTGCGCCAAGCCCTCACAAACTGCAGCTTGGCTGTGTGGCTTTAGGACAAAATCATGGGCGTTTTGATCATCAGGACCTAACTATTTTCGGAGGCGCCTGTGCCCTTTTGCTTCAGCATGGAGGAGACGGCGGCCTGGCTCAGCATTGCTTGGCTGTAGAGTAAACTGGGTTGCTGTTAAAGAACTTAATTTAATTTGCTTTTTCGGGGAAGCCATACAGTAGTAATTGCTGTACATATACCCATTATGGTAACTTACTTTAAGCTCCTTAAACCAGTAAAGGGGCGTCCTGAAGGCATGGTCTAGGGGATTATACGGATCATAACGAGGTAGAGGGTGTGTGAGAATGTGGTTGGCTTTCTAATGAATTTTATGGGTGGCTTCTTGCATCCTCATGGCATGGACACAAAATCTGGGAGCGTCTCGGGCAGCATAGGGGCGTGCACCTCTGCCCATCATAGGCTCAGATTCCTCCAAGAGCCACAAAGCAAACAACGACCCTACTTACCTGCCGTCATGCCTATTGAACACGAAGAAGCGCATCGGGCTTCTGGGCATTCGTGCAGGCTTGACGAAGGATCCTAGCTCCCCCTTGCCCGCTGCATCCGTTTGAGCTGAAATGGGGTTGTCTAACTATTTCCGTCTACGCCGGCATGGTGATTTACACATATTAAGTTTAATAGTTATATCACGCTTTGACCCCCCACAGGCCCTCATGCCTACAAATATCGCAAGCGGAGCTGCACCAAATAGCGGTTCTGAATCTTGCTAACTTCTTGAGCAAAAGAAGCAATGAGGATTGAACATCATCTTGGGCAACCAGGGCAGAGCAGGGGCGTAATTACAGGAAACGCGCGCTGATTAGGCTGAAGGATGGTTGCTCTGCCTCGTACCTGCTGTGTATGCTTCAGTAGCAGGTTGATGCGGAGATGCGGGACGTCCTGCGAATGCGCGCAGCCGCCGGCTATACTGCCGAAGACGAGATGCCTGCTCCTTATGTTGGTTCAGGCCCGGCCTAAGGGTTTGCCACCACTAGCCTGGGTTGCTGTTAAGGCATTTAATTTAAGTTACTATTGGGGAAACCAGAATAGATGCTATATATATATATATGTTTATGTACATACCCATTTTGTAACTTCATTTCCTGAACAGCAACCCCGTAGCTTTGGACACGAGGTGGTGGTGTGTGTATGGCCACGAGTACAAACCGTCTTGAAGCAGCAGGGTCTCATTTCGGTACGTTCCGGTCTATGGATGTTGGGCCGACTTGGGTTCCATTTCGGCTTGGTTGGTAGCTGACCACCGTCACCTTCCCCACCTGCCAGCTCGCTTCCACACTCCCGTGTCAACCGCACCGTTCCCAATGAACTCTCACCCTTTCACCCTCCCCACCCTTCCTGGAAACTGTGTGTTGTAGACTGTATTGTAAGATGAGCAGGTTTGGGGTGGCTGAAGGTCCAAGGTTTGAGGTTTCACGACGGGCCCTGAGCAGATCATGGTTTTGAAAACTCGCTCTCCAGACAGAGGTAGGCCTCACGTGTGCTGTCTTCAATTGCTATTCAATTTAGCCCAACTTCGGGCCATACAGTTGGAGCTTCAGGTTTGAGTGCGCCAAGTCGGCCATGTTTTCCTGCTTTGAAATGTCTAGGGCAAAGACTGTCCCAATTATGCATATACCTGCCAAAGAAGATGACCGAAATCCAAACACTGCGAATTCACTCTCCGCAGTGTTTCTTTTTTCGCAAGGTGCGATTAGACCCTGTGCGCTACATCCCAGACCTATATGAAGCCCTGTACCCCGAATACCCTGACCTTCGTGGCACACATACACTGCTAACGCCCGGAACTGTGACATTAAGGCCCCAAGCGTAAAGTTGCAACTCTGTGCAGGTGAGTGGCCCCTCAGTCAGGAGCTGGTTCCCGTAGGCACGGAGCATTCGCTTAGCCAAAGCCTCAAAACCACGCTTCCACATAACCTTCTACTATGCGTGGAGCTGAACCTTTGGGGTCTTCCAAAATATCCCTAGGTCTTTGGAACCAGGGAATCTGTGCATCAGCAAGGGCGCGCAAAATCATTGTCTGCTCGGGCGCAGACCATGCATACTAAAGGTGCCTGGTGTTGTAAAGTAACGTGGCATAACGAGGCGTGCATGTGGTCTGCTTGTGAGGGGAAACGTAGGAGCCTGAATGGTGTTTCCAGTGTACTTCATGCATTCCCTGAAAACAGTTAAGAACGGCATTCCCCAAATGGGCACACCCCAGCCAAATGCTGCGTGCTGTCTAAGACATGCCGAGGGGCCCCCGCCTGAAACAGTAGAATCGCCATCATAGAACCCCACACGGGAACCTGTCGCGTTCAGAGGCCCATCTGCATCTCCTCCTTCTGTAGCAAGCTGCCCAGCGAAACTTGCAAGATCCTGTATCCTCAGCGATCCAAAGAATGTTGACGGGTGATCATACAGGTCGGCCTTTAGCATCCTAGTAGGACAATCTTGAGTGCTCGCAGAATTCCTCTAATGGGATGCTCCTGATCTTTAGTATTCGTATCCTGGTTGCTGCCAGCAGGCGTGTCCGATGCGGCAGATGCCTTGGAAACATCAGTTGGTGATGTACAGGCAAGGGTTTGGGGCCGATTTTTTGGAGCTGTTTTTTTTTTGCATTGTGGCTGGCGGCCAAAGAGACTGAAACCACGCGGTTCTACAACAGCGCGGCACCTCTTCTCCGCCGTCCGTAGCATTTGCTGGAATGGTCCCAAAAACTTTCCTGCTGCACGAGAGGGGTTCCGTGCAATCCCATGTTCAGCAACACTCATACAGATAGAGTTGCCATCATCAACGCAGATCGTAGACAGATTTTAACTCGCGAGTCGGAGACCATTCTACATGCCTCTGACTTGAACCCTCGGGACTCCTCTTGGATTCCCCTGCTGATCCTTGAGCCAGCATTGTGAGCTTCTGCGGACGATGCATAAGTCCGAAGAGAGCTTTGATATCAAAGGTTTCTACGTGCTGTTGGTGCGAAGGGACTGTGTAAGGACTATCTAATATACAGGGCATGAAGCAGGGGCCACGATTAGCCAACAGTTTAGAGTATCATATGGTGGCACTTATCATGTTCCTGGCACCCGCAGGACATTTGGCGGGGAGCGGTCGGAGGCCGGGCAAGTGAAACTACTGTTTGGATGCGTGACTATCGTATTGCAAGGGAAGCTAGAGGGTGGGGGTGCCAATTTGAAAGAAACTCGCATATGTTCAGGGCCAGACGCGGTTGCGGATGTGTCCAGCTCTTGTAATTTGGAGTGTGACGGACTCTCTGGAGTTGCGACGAAGAAGCCAGGAATAAGATGTTTGGGAGTTCGGGCTTTGGTGGAAAGGAGGGTCAGTTTCGTGAATCTTCCTGGTGGGGGCTCTGACAGAGACTGGTTGCTTGAGTGCTCGCGATATGTGCCTATGCCGGGTTCGTATGGGGGGCACTTGGGTCCTCGGTGGGTAAAGTCGCACAGACCGGACAAGCGCTGGACTCGGGGCATTGCCTCCATGCTCCCTTAGGGGGCACGTATATATTGCGGTAGATATAGGGTTATATAGAGGTAACACTGTATAATCCAGGGATAGTGAAAAATAAGATGGAAACTAGTATGTGCACTAAAGCCTCAAGCTGGCAAGCCAAAGGCCGTCAAGTTCAGACTCCAGAAGGTACGCTGCGGCACGGGTGTGATTCAAACCCGTTTGTCGCTTTCAGTCCTGCTGTATGTCGTCCGCATCCAAAGGTCCATAAGCCTGAGCAGTCGAACATGTGTACTGTTGTGTACCGTAGCCACTTTGTGCTTCCCGCATCAGAATTTCAGAGAAGATTCCCACAAAAACGTCGTATAGGGACCCCCCATAATCTACCATGTTCTGTGTATTCCCGGGGTCCCAAACAGACCCCGATGTTGAGAAACTTCCAAGCATTCCGTTTTCTGTGTTTGTTTCTATAGGGTGACCTCAGGCGTGCCTGTGTCGGAGCGGAGCGCGATCGCCGCGGAGTGCGTGGTAGGGGCTGCTCGGCTTTTTGCTACAGGCTTTAATTTCCCTGAGGCTCAAAATGACTTGAAGACCTCATAGTAGAGGGACGTTGGCCCAAATTCCTTCAATTATCAGCCCTTATAGGGCCTTGGGGACTGTGTCTGTAAACGTTCAGATTGTTGTCGGCAATTTCCTGCAGTTTCATGGGAGTTTGTCAGGCTTTCTTGCGTTTGGGCTATGGTCGCGCGTAGAGGTTGCGGGTCAACCAGCACATCGGGATCAGTTATGGAAAGTTATGACAATATAGGAGCTTTAAGACTTAGCAACATTATGGTCCTAGACTCCTTGTAGAAGTACAATATAGCGCAATCAGATGGACCTCCAATTGCTGTTGGTAGTCCTTGAGGCCCCACACAACCGTGTTTTCAGGTCCGCAACGCGCGGCTTGGCAACTTTGGGGCTTCTGAATGTGGAATATCGGGCTGTTGGTTTGAACAAGCGTTTTAAAGGCATCGTAGATCCATAGCAGAGCCCAGACTCTAGAATTAGCCGGCAACATCATACAGATAGCCCATGTCTGCCCAGGTTTTACCTAAGATGCTGGGCCATGGCCTGGTGTGACTACTACACTACACCGGGAAGCTGCCCTGAATCCATTCCTGATTCAACGGAACAAGCTCGTTGCCTGAGGAAAAGAAGAAGGATGCAGCCGCACATATTCAGCTGGCCGCCAGGTTGCGATTAAATCACGGAGCCGTGTCAAAGGCCTAGGTAGGAGAAAACTGAAGTGCAAATCGAGATCTACGCTTAGGACTTACCACGTCAAATTACCCTACGGTTTCGTGCACAAGGACTTACAGTAAGGCAGATGATCTATCTAGATGCGGGGTAAAGTCATGAAGCTCTTGCCTGCCAGACGACCTCTAGCCAGGATTTCAATGTTCAGCCAGCTGCATGGATGCTATGATGATGGTGCCACATGGTCCAATTCCTGGTTCTGAAGCGAACCTACGTAAAGGATAATTCGTATAGCTGGTCCTACACAGAATCAGCCCTCTGTTCCAACGAAGGGGCACTTACAGTACCTTTTGCTTTCCTAAACCCTAAATAGTAGTCTCCATCTTCTTTTCCATTATCCCTATATAACTCCTATATAACCTCCTTAATCCGTACTGCCAATTTGAGGTGAAGGGCATGCCGCGGGTCAACGAAAGGCCATGGGAATCTCATTTTGCTGAGCCTCTACCTCACCTCTCCTAGTAGCAGGGAATGAAGGAATGGCAAGGAGCATGGAAACTACCCGGAACTAGGGATTCTATACGGGATGCTATGGGGACCCATTCCTTCATTTCTTGTTAATCAGAGGTACGTCTAAGGAAGCCTTAAACCAAAGAGTCGAAGCCCGGAGCGGCCAAGCGTAGCACTCCCGATGTTGCCTATCAGAAAATATCTTCATCCAGTACCACTCTGACGTTGGGTCCTTCAAATTTTTACCATGACAAGCATCCCAAATCAGCCTGGGTATTGGTACTAGTCTTGACTTGAGGCTTGAGCTGGCAGCTGCTTTAGGATATGTGTCAGGCTGCTTCGAACGCACCTCAGCCACCTTGTGGACAGCACATACGACCCTGAGATGCATTTTATATCATTTTATGAGGGGTTCCGATTTGGGGTCCCCTCCCCAAATGCTCCTAAACACTTTGATCTTCATCTTGGAGAGCTCCCACAAAGGATTTCTCAATTCTGGAAAAGTTGGCGCAAGGGATTTCATTTTTGGACCGGTTCTGAGATGGTGAAGGCGCCAAAACCTTCCATTCGTCTGCAGAAAGAGGGGCTGTAGGATCTACATCACAGAAATGGGCATCAGCGGAGTCAGGGATTTGCCTGGATTGAGAATGATACAGATACTGTAGGTCTACAGCAGAGATGCTGGTGGATCTGGGGCTGAACTGTTTTGTCTGCAATTATGCAGGTATGTTCTTGAGAATTCCGCGGGGCGTTTGTATGGATTCATGTTATCTGGCATAGTGTCTAAACAATTGGGTTGTCCCTTGTTAGAGTCCTCGTAGTTTCTTCTGTCTAAGTAGTTCCAGAGGTTGGCATGCCAGCAGAGCATACTGTGTCTCTCATGTGCAGCATCTAGTCTAAACTCCTTAAAGGGGGTTATATAGGGGTTTATATAGGGACTACTTTAGGGGTTATTATGAGGGATACTAGGAGTTTAGACGATGGCTCATGTGAAGCATCTAGTTTGTTCTAGCCTTGGTTGAGGTTCGCCGGTAGTCTGAAGTTGGGCTGGCGATTTGCGCGCTGGTCACCAAATCTATCCATGAGCCGGCAAGTAGCTCATAGGGCTTTACCTTATTACTGTAAAGCCTGTCTGATCCAAAAAGAGCCCCATGAAATATCTACCCGGACCCTACTGAAACCGCAAACCCTACAAGGATGTGGAGTCGGATTCTATGCGGCCCTACGGATGGAAGAGAGAGGCTTGGTGGACAAAAATGGATGTACAACGAACCTTGCAGCCTGCTACCGTCCGTGTCACCTCCTGGCCCCCCATGCTGTCCTTTGAAGGGATCGCCATCATGCCCTATGAAATGAGAATAGTAATAATAATAGTAGTAATAACAGTCATAATAGCAGTATAGTAATAATGGTAATAATAGTAATATAGTAATAATAGTAATAACGGCTACTATAATCCCAAAAGAAAACGATATGAGGCCCGTGTGTCTGCCAAGGCTCAGCTAAGAGAGCCAGCAGGTCATCTCGCTTAGGGTTTAGGGGTTTAGGGTGTAGGGGTTTAGGGTTTAAGGTTTAGGGTTTAGGGCTGTGAAGCCTACCCAGGCATCTCCCAACCACTTTCTGCGTGGTCTACGGGAGAACGCCTACTTTGAAGTTTGTGGGTGGGGGTTTGTAAGGGAGCCTGTTTCAGAAAAACATGAAATTTCTTGCGGCTACAAGTCCGGATGTTAAAGGCAGATAACCCTAAGACCTAACAGCCTTACAGATGCCAGGAGCAGAAGGAAGAGGGAGCCATGGCGGTAGAAGTGGAGGCTGTTTGCTGAGCTACGGGGGTGGGTCATGGCTTGTGATTACGCCATGTAAACACATATGAACCATGGAGAGAAACAGAATTTTATGCTCGCATACACATCTACGCATAGATAGAGGTGAGCTTTTCTGTCATGACTTTCTTTGGCAGATGTGTTTTCGTGTCTTAGGACGTACTGTGTATGCACATATGTAAATGTGTAGAGTGTCCATCTGGCGAACCACAAATACATGTGGCACCTTTTTTTGTGTGTAGTTGACGTGAAGGGTTTATTTGAGGTATTGAAGGCTTACATTAGTTACATGGCCTGTACATGTAGGTTGAGAAAAAATCCTTGTGGCTCCTGTATAACTAGCGGCGAACCTCCGAGCGATGTGTACACCTGAATGGGCGGGCTTCGGACTCAGGATTGATTTTGGGGGCTGGATACCTCGCGAGATAGCAGAAGCTGAGGCATTGACTATTTGTATCGATTTGTGAAGCGGGATGCTTTGATCACTTGCTCCCATGAACAGGAATGATGTTTTTTTTCGGGTGTAAAGAGCTGCGGCCAAATTGCAGCGCAGCAGTGCGGCCGATGAGAAGACGGTTCAATGGCTCGCAGGATCGCATCAGCCAGCAATGTGTCAACCCCCAAGTTCTGGTCCTATCAAAAGAGAGTGTGCGGTCATGCCAACCCCGCCTCACAATTTGTACATTGAGGCATCATGTCCTTAACAGAGTCATGCCCTTGTCAAGGACCTCGTCTCATGCGCCTTTCGCTGCCGGGAGACTTCGCAAAAGACAAAGGAGGGCCGCATGATTCAGCCTGAAGCTGTGTAGACCTGTATGGGAATCGCGAGCTTTCCAGGGTAGAACCTATCTTCTGTGCTAGCGAAACGTGGAATAGGCAAACATCGCTTGGCGTCTGTTAATTAGCAGATTGCTGCTGGGGATGCAGACGTTGGGAAGTGGGTTTGGCTGGAACTCGTGGTCCACAGCTGGAAGATGCAGGAAGCTCATGGGCTTTCTTATCGTGATAAGACTAAAGTCTTTTTAGAGATGTTCAGGAAGCTGACATCAGTACATTGCAGCAGACTCAGATGCAGATGTTCAGGAAGTTGCACGACAGGTCTTGTGAGCTAGGGCAGGGAAGTTTTTGAGATGGCTCCTGCCATCCACCTTACTGGTGCCTATAGTAGGGATTGATGAATCTAATCTCTCTATGATCCCTACATAATGTATTCCCTTATTCTCTACTAACCCCCATTAAGCCGTTGCAGCCTTCATGAGCTGGCGACCCTAGCTTATCTTTTGGGGACGCCAGCTATGGTGGCCTATTTGGGGTTTCCCAGCATTAGTGGTACCATTTTGAATTTTGGGGGTCCCCAACGTAAGGATTATACTATTTGGGTGTCTATATTGGGGTCTCCCTATTTTGTGAAACTACCATTTACGAACCTTAAGCACAACAGTGTGTTCGGGGTGTGTTTTGGAGACCCGTATGTGTGTAAGCACTCCCTCCTCCTCAGCCCCGGACATGTAGGGCAATGTGAGTGGGTCTAGGATAGCTATCTTCTTGATGGTCAATTGTTGGGAGACGTCCTCTCGACGCGTACATCATGAGATTTCACAGGCTAAATTATGCTTGGACTCCTAGTTGCCGTGCTTCAAACTGAGGAAGTATTTGTTAGAAAGAAAAATAGCAGCAGCCATGGTGCAACGAAGAACAAGTCAACCCTTCAGCACATATCCCAATTATGTCTTGGAGGCTCACATGAGGAGGCGGCAAGCTGATGAAGAGGGTGGCATCTTGTGACACGCCTGTGAAAAGCCAGCCTGTTGTCACGTCTGCAACTCCCACGAAAGGGGTGTGCTTGGTTGTGTCGAAAGAGGGTTGCTAATTGTGAGGGACTAGGATTTAGTGAAGGATGCCCAGCATTCGCAGTACTGAGGGTCATAGCGGCTTCTAAATGCCATAACACTTCAGTTGGAGGTGTGATCTGAATGACAATTGTGCTGTTGCTTGGGATCAGGGCCTTGACCTTCCTTGATCGCCCCATGATGCGCACCTAAATCAACTGGGTAATCAATTCCCGAGTCCGTGATCCTCTCAGCGCCATCTTCTTCACATTTACCAATGAGACTCTAGTCAGAACGGACGAACCAGGATGTCTCAGGCTTTGCACCATTGAAATTCAGCTTCTTCATGAGACTCCTTAGTCCCTGCAGTCTGCCTCAGTGTGTCAGACTGTGTTCCTGTCCAATCCTTTGTGGGCTACCCATGTGCATTAGTATAGATGAGAAGTGCAAAAGTATGGGCGAAAGTCAAAACATGTTGAATCTGCATTTCCTTCAACAGTTGTGCAAAAAAGCTGTTCGCTGTTGTTCCACTCAGTCTTTCCACGGGCATCTGCATCAAGTGTCAATACCCAAGCCCTATCCATTGCCACTACGGCCTGCAGATTTCTGATTCCACGCACCCTGCTGATGAGAAGCGCCTTATTCAAGCACCCATCGCCAAGATGAGTCGATATTTTGTCGATGACTATGTAAACTGGAAAATTCGCTCTGGCGTGATAAACTCAGCAGCACCAATCCATGCTATGTGGGAGGTGATATAAAACTATAATGACAGGCTAGGGTCTTGCCCCCGCGCGGGCGTAAGCTTGTGTTGGAGGCTGCTGAAGACCCTTCTTGAAGACATTTGGTCGAGATCACGGTGAAAAGGTTTGCCTAAGTTTCACTGTCGAAATTAGTGCCGCATAAGCGGAAATCCGTTCAAGTTTTATGACGAGGTTTTAACTTGAGAGCCCGCGGCACTAGAACCCATAACATGGCTCAATCGAGATGCAAGGATCCTTCACCTCTCATGAAGACATCATACAACATTGCAAAGCGCTTACAAAATCCAACAGTAATGCCTACGACTACCCCAAGCATCCGTCAAACTAAAACAGCTCCATATCTCTTGGAATTGTAGATAGCGTGGCATTATATCACAGTGCACATCACAACCATCTACCTCTATCTCGCGTGATCCTACACGAAGGGACGCCCAGACGCGCCATGTGAAGTTCGCTCATTGCCTCCTCATGCCGGAAGGCTCTGGGAAAAGATTGCAAGAATGGCCAGTATAGAAGGAAGAGAAGTGTTTTGAATTGTCGCAATAGTTGTGCGGCTAGTGTTGCCGCTACTAGTACTCCTGCTGCTTACTGCTGTGGCTACCGCTACTAGCACGGTTGCTCTCATTCATAATTTGTCAGTAGCAATGGTGGGAATCGCGGTAGTAGTCAGGAGAAGCAAGTAGAAGCAGCAGTAGCCGCACTCAGTAGTCCCCGAGTCATGATGACTTGTGACATGTGGTAACGACTGTAGTCGTAGCAAGAGGAGGATGATGAAGAGGGGAGTCATGAAAATGATGAATCTTTTTGTCTGGAGTTAGGGGAAGTAAAATCATCGCAAGACAGAGCTGCTTTAAACAAGGTGGCAATCTTTTCAATAGTACAGTCTCTTTGGATCTAATGACAAAAGTGTTTTCCTCTGCTATGTCTTTCTTAGTTTGGCCGTTCGTGGCCTTGTGGCTTTTGCAGGAATGCTAATGGAACGTGTGATTCCTGGACTTGGACATTCGGAACTGTCATGCATCTAGCGGTCATGCCAACGTTCCATAGAAGACCATCCATCGCCTAGACTTCTCGCTCTTTGCTCTTCATTGCCCTGAGCCATGAAATCTGCAGAGATGTGACTTTGATAACTCGCAGCAGTGCTACGTTACAATCTTTTCCTATTGCATTTTCCAGCAGCATGTTGGGAAAGACAAAGGTATCTGCTATAGATGTTTGTAGTTCCTTTCACTGTAGAAGGAGACCTATGCATGGGCTCTTTTGCAAATTAGGCCAACAGGCACCATGCAGTTTGACCAGTAGGATCGCCCTACAAGCATATCCCTCGAAAATCCCAAGTATATGCAGGGGCATCGGAGAATTTCTGACGCCAGGTCCCTGCCCCATTTGTCTTGAAGAGCTGCCGACTTCGAGCGAGGGCAGATCTAGCTGAAATCGGGGGAAGTGGTGTTTCAGGGCTTCGGGGGCTTCACCTGCCTGCCTGAAAGCTTGGAAACAAAAAAGAAATCTGAAGCTCCAGAATGTGAGATACAACGCGCAACAACCCAATGTAATAAAAGAAGCAAACATGTTCAGCTTGGGATAATGCATATAGGGGTTGTCGTCGGTTTGTGTATTGGGGATCATTCGTTGAACGTCTTGGGCGTGGAGATTGCAACTTGCGGCCTTTCAGTCTCTGGGCTTCAGGGCTCGGAGTTGCAGGTTTCTTGGGTGCGTCTAGGGGATTACGTCAAAACCATGATCGCCTGGCAGTTGTGGACTCGGCACAGTCTCAATTGGAAGTATAGAGGTCAGTAGGTCAGTGTCGCATTTCAAAAAGTTGACGTGTTCTGCAAAGATGGGGCTATGGTTCAACTTTATTCCTATATACATCCCTGCCACAGTCCCTAAGGTAGAGGCGGCTTGGTTTGCAGGCTTGTACCCTTGATTTGCAGGCTTGTACCCTTGAAAGGGGCCTCCGCAAAAGTTCCGAATAGCATTTGATGCTATTGGGATATTCGGGAACCAACGTATGCCTGGTTGTCAACAACCATCGTTTCTTTCTGTCCACTGTATGATGCAGCTGCAAGTTTTGTAGGGTATCCGAAGAAAGGCCAAAATTCCACAACACATGCAGGAGATCCTGTTACATGCTGATGATTGCAAGAAATTCTCCGACCGGTACAGTTTCAGAAGCCTTTTGGGCTTGCCTCGACAGCTTTGGATAGTTCCTTTCTTAGGTATTTGCAGGTATGTTTCGTGCAAAAGGAGTCGGAGGAGGAGGAGGAGTAGTAGTAGTAGTTATTATTGTTATTATTACAACTATTGGTAGTGCTAGTGGTGTTGTAGTAGTCGTCGTCCTCGTCGTCGTCGTCATAGAAGCTGAAGCTGAAGCTGCTGCTGCAATTGTATTGGCAGCGTTTACGGCTTCCGTGAGCTTCAGAGAGGTCAATAACTTTTTTGCAGCTTCCATTAGTACGTTCGCACTTGTGAGCATGACTGCGACGGTAAAACGTACTTGGAAGCTCGGGTCCATTTGCCCCAGTCAAGTTAAGTCTTCTGCCAGAAGAAAGCCCTGCTATAGTCAACAGTTCGTGGCTTTTGCGGATAAGCACTTCAATCCCCTGCGATAAGCAGCCTTTGGCCGCCTCCATGCTACAGCAACAATGCCCTACCGGGGACCCGCCAATTCTCAGAATCGTCGCAGCAGGTACCTTCTGCTGTTCGGAGTGCAAGGCACGCTTCCACCTGGCATGCGCCCAGCCACCCAGTGCACACTGAACTCTGAGCCTTATGTGGACTACCATGGAAATCAAATTGGCAAGGTTGCTTCCAGAAGCTGTATACACTATTGCGTACGCATGTGGATGTTCGAGGCCCGAAGACACGCTGAAACCGCAGCGGAAAGTGGCGCACTTCCTCTCAGGCAGCACACCGTCGACAGAGTTAACAGATGGCAGGTATCAGCGTGAATTTGTCTTGCTCAAGTTTGGGCAGATGGGCGTAAAAGCTCGATATTATAAGTATGTTTCTTGGCGGACGGGTTGTGGGTACATTTTTGAGACCAAGCTGCCCGCAGCATGAGCATCTTTTCGCGAATATGTTGATGGAATCTATGGCCCTTCCCCTGAAGGAAGGAGCCACGAGCAAGGTCATTTGCCCATGAAAGCTGTGGGCCACCCCTAAACCCTAAAGCGTTGTTTCCGAAGATGCTGCCAGGTGTCCACTGCCTGCCTGCAACAGCACATGGGAGAAGGCGAAGAGAGGGCGCTCAAGATATTTTCTTACTGGTGGTTGTTAGGGAATAAGGGAGCAAATTAGATTTGGATTACCTTTGGATTATATTCCTTTATTTATACTCACCACTTGCAGGTTTTGGATGGAAAGCAGAATCTGCTTCGAACACGGCTTTTGCAATTGACTGCGCGCCCGATCTTGGAGGATTCCTTCCTAGACTAGAGTCTTACACCCAAAGGCTCAACGCAATGATTAGCAACCAGGTAGCTCAAAGTTGCACATCATATGCCCGCCTCCGCGTGTCCTTGTCGGCCCCAGCTGTAGGAAGGTTTTCATGGGCCAGTTAAGACAAGGTGGCAGGTTCATGGCTGGAGAATAGTAGGGGCCTAAACAATGACCAATAATGGAGAATCAAATTGGAAATGTTGAGAAATGAAATGGAAACAGTGTTTAAAGGCATGATTACCCATATGGTTCTAGATTCCTTGTATATCCTTGTATAGTGATAGTCTTGGGTACCTTAAGTAGCCTCAAAAAAGTATGGGCAATTGTTCGGCCCCTGTATTACACGTCATTTAAAAACATCACCTTGGCATCAGCCACAGGGACAAAAAGGGTCTTCGGTCATGCGGTCCACCTCAAAATTCGCCAACTAGTTACTTCGAATCAACCCGTCAGTTCCATCAATGATGTTAGTCCGCAGCCTAACCACCTAGAACAGACCCTTCCGATGCCTTTGCAAAGCAGCCCAAAAGGCTCACAAATCCTGAGGAAGGCGGACCCAACTGCATCAGCATGCAGCTTGTTGAAGTGTCTGTAGCTATATTATAAACCCAATATATAACCCCAACATAACCCTAACATTACCCCAATAGAACCCCAATATATTACCTCAATATATCCCCAATATATAGCCAGAATACCCCTAAACCCTGAACCCTAAACCCTAAACCCCTAAACCCTAAACCCTAAACCCTCCATAACCCTAAACCCCTAAACCCCTAAACCGTAAAGGACTTGCAGAACCTGCTGGATGAGCTGGGGAAAGAGAGGGTTGCTGCGGCCACACGCCTTAAAGAGGAGCTCCAAGCCCGGAGGCCAGGGATAGGATGGGATAGGGTCCCTTTAAAGGGGGGCATATAGGGATATATAAGGGTATATAAGGGGGATATGGGATTTAGGGTTAAGGGTTTAGGGTTTAGGGTTTAAGGTTTAGGGTTTAGGGTTTAGGGTATATAGGATTTTAGGGGGATGTAGGGGGATATATTGGGGTTATGCATATGGATAATGCAAAAGACAATGGAAACTTTAGGTCCCTTTAAAGGGATATATAAGGGGGATATATAGGGTTTAGGGTTTAGGGCTTAAGGTTTAGGGTTTAGGGTTGGATATAGGGGGATTAATAATACTGGAGAATCAAAAGGAAAAGAACATGTAAAATGAAATTGAAACTGGGATTATAGGGTATAGTATATTATATTGGGGTTATATAATGGAAAGGAAAATGGAAACTACTACATAGTATATTGGGGTTATATATTGGGATAATGGAAAAGAAAACGGAAACTACTGTTTTGGGGTTTGGGGTTTAGGGTTCAGGGCTTGAGCTTGGGTTTAGCTTTAGGGCTTAGGGGAGGGTTGAGGTTTGGAGATCTAGGGCTTAGGATTCGGGGCTCTCGGTACCTCCAAGAATAGTCTCGAGCGCACAAACACGTAAATAGTTGAAATAAACCGGGCTCCCTTTCAGATTCAGTGGAGTGGTCACATAAGCAGCATCTCCTGTAGAAAGGCCTATCCTTGCCTCCTGGAGTAGGGCTCTTTCCAGTGATGGCCGCAGCGGCTC